GGGCGGTTGTCAATCCCCATTTACATCAGATTGGAAGGGCTGGAAAAACCCCAGCATTCTGCTCTGCAAGCCCCCAAGCCCCCTGAGGCAGAGCTGCTGAGGAGCAAACCCCACCATGGATGATGAGGGGTGGTGACAACCCGCTCCCTGCCGATGAAGCGATGTTTGCTCTGAAAAATCTGAATGGCAACTCTCGTCCCATTTGCACCCGGTGAACCCTTCAAGAGCTAATCAGGATTTTCACAGGTGCTTGTGAATATTCACCTACGTGCCAGGGAGTTGCTATGGCTGAAAGCAGCCCACCTTCACTCTGGTTCATCACCCGAGCAGCCTGCTGGTGCTCGTGCTAGGAGGCTGAGCATCTTTAGGCAGGTGAAGGAGAGCTGGGCTGGCTCACCATTTACGCTAAATTTCATGATAATTGAAGAATCTGCAGAAAACTCAGCCGTTGTCTCAACATCCCTGAATAATGATTAACCCAAACCCACGAATCCAGCAATGGGCTTTTTTATCAGAGGGAAAACATTGTCAAATGAGTTTTTTCCAGCCAGCTGCGAGAGCAGGTAACTGATAAGCCCGTCATTGGAGTGGGGCTGAGCCAATGGGAGCTGATGGCGACGGCTTTTACTTCTGTCTAGCAACAGCTTCTCCTTGAGCAGCAGACAGCAATTCAATGCTTTCGCTTGCTTTTATTGAGCTCCCCCCCTTCCTGCCCTCCTGCTACATGGGCCTCTTCATGGGGGACACTCAGAAACTGAATTTCGCATGGATTGTCCCCAGTTTTCTGCAAGTTTTTGGTGTCTATTCCTATCCAGCATGGCAAGAGCTTTGCAGCTGTAAAAGAGGATGCAGGCCCCCATCCTGCCATTCCCTGGCTCTGCTCTCACCCTGCCTTGCCCGTGCACCCGGAGCTCTGCTTCTGCTGGGTGGGTGTCACACACCCATAGGGTGCTTGAAATAGCACCGTAGCAGAATAGCAGCCGTACCAGGAGACCCCACGCCAGGGCTGTGTCTGACTCTCCCGCCCTGCGTCGCCAGCGCCTGGCCATGGTCCAGCACCTCTCCTGGCTTCTGGGGGCTGTTTGCATGGGGGCCATGGCTGGGAGCAGCACCCCTGGATCAGGGCACGTCGCAGCATGCAGGGAGGGTTCGCTTTGATGCTGGCTGTGGTTATCACAGTGGGTGATAGGTGTGATATCACAGGGTGGTTGAAGTGCCACGTAATCCCCAAATGGTCTCAGGGTGGAGCAATGCCGGTACCTGATAACAGCCCAGAGCAAGGCCCTAACCTGGGGCAGTCTGTCCGCTTGCTGCGGGGACACAGAGGGACTATTCATTGCATTTGCAGACAGAGAGTGGAGGCTTTGCTTGGGCGACTCGCCAGAGATCAAACTGGTTGCAGCGGAGGGAGGAACCAGCCTCCCTGTGCTCCCCACCCCATCGGTACCCCCACCGACCATTGCCCCTCTCCCCTCCACCCCAAGAGTGAATTAGAAGGCAGAAAACTCGCAGCCAGCTATAAATTAAAATCTCAGGAGCCTTAATAACCCGCTTGGCCGGAAGAAGCGAATAGGTGTGATGTGGAAATTAATAGGCACATCTGGCAGCCGCTTAGCACTTCGGCTGCAGGAGGGGTGTGCGTGTGCCTGTGTGTGCGTGTGCATGTGTGTGCGTGTGCGAACAGCCAGCACAGCCTCCCGGATTGGCTGTAAAACCCCTTCCCGACCAATGCCGGGGACCAGGGTGGCCTAGCAACAGCCTTTCCCTAATGAAAAACAAGCCACTTAAGCATCATGACTGTCTGCGGATGAGAGGAAAAGGCACAATTCCCAGCACGCCCCATCCTCCCCAGGGAGCCAGCCCCAAAGGGGGCTGCAAAGGCTGTGCTGGACGGGCTGGGGTGGCCCAACTCAAGCACCTGTGTACCCCTCAGTTCCTGCTCCACGGATGCGTTGGGTGCACGGGAAGGGTTTGCTGCAGGCACAACACAAGGAAGCCTCCAGGGAAGAAACCCCTTCCCGTTCAGCCACGGCTCCATCCCCCTGTGCAGGTAGCCTGGGTGCAAGGCTCACCACTCAACCCCCATCACAGGCACCCCACAGCCCTGCACCCATGGGCGAGCTGGGGGCTGGATGCCAAGTGACCATGGGGGCCATAAACCACTGAAGATGCCACTTTCAGGGCAGGAGGAGTTCATGAGGTGCAGTGCTGGGGGCATGTGGGGCACTCCCCAGCACTGCCAGGTGAAGGAGGAGCCAAGGAGTTGGTCACCGGTGTGGTCTTGCTTGGAGATGTCACCTTTCCACATCCCTGCCCTGGGATTCTCTCCTCC